ACGTCCACCAGAGCTCGGACCCGCTCCGGCTGCCGGGCTCCACCAAACAGGACGGCAGGGTGACCACCACCGTCTCCGACATCCTCATCCACGGCCTGTCGGCCTACAACATCGACCACCTGAACGTGGAGTTCCCGGAGGGCGGCACCAGGCTCAACGTGCAGGCCACCATCAGCTGGCCGCGCCTTCGTGGAAACGGGCACGCGAACGCCAAAGCCGAGCGACGCATCTTCCGCAAGAAGCTGCGCGCCTCCGTTTCTGCCGACTTGGAGGTTCGCGTCGATCGTCCGGTGGGGAGCCTGGACGTAGCCCTCGAGATCGACGTGCACCCCAACGGCACCATCGCGGCGCGGCCGCTCAACACCGCCGTCTCCGTCACGCTGGGTGACATCGACGTGGATGTCGACTTGAAGGGCGTAGGAGGTGTCGTAAACCAGCTAATCGGCGACCCGGTCAGCAAGATCGCCACGGCCGTCGCCGAACACTACTGGAAGCGCGAATGGCGCCCCAAAGCGGAACGAGAGGCGAAGCAGGCGCTCGAGAAGGCCATAGTGGAAAAACTCGGGGTGCAGCTGAGCGAGCTGCTCCACAAATGAACTAAGTACCATGAGTTCAGATCGAGGTTCTGAAGAGGACTTTGATCGCTTCGCATCAGTGGTTTGTTTTTCACGTATCTTGATCTCTGCGTAAGGAACTGTAAGAACAAAGTGATCTAGTGTAACAGGCTTTTTTTCTGGAAAGCGTAATAATGCGGAAGGGTTTTGGTGTGTTACCTGTGATACGTTTCTTGAGAAAATATACCACCAGAAAGTTTTGCAAAGAAGAGTATCCCTTCTTCTTAACCGCAATGCGCGAAATCTTTCGGAATCTAAGTGTGAAGCTCGCTTTCATAGGTGCGATACAACATGATGCAGAACAAATGAACTTAAAAGGAACTAAGTGCTGTAACTGAGCGTGATTAAGATGATGGTGAAGTTAAATAATTATGGTAGTCTGATGCTGATGAGTAAGCTTGAGTAAACAAGTAGGTAAGCTCATGAGAAAGCTTTTGTATCTGAAGACGAGCCGTGCTCGAAATAGTATGCCACTCATCTCTAAAATATATGTTTCAAATATGGCTTACTCATGAGCATCAGACTACCATATTTATTTGATTTTACCAGCAAATTAACTTCAGTCCCTCACATGAACGCAAAGTAAATTAACCTTCGCCCCTAAAGGGGGGACCGAAGAACGGACCCCCTCCCCTTATGTTAGCGGCCCGGCTGGCAAAACGCCAATACGGGCGAGGGTTAACCAAATCGTCTGAACTAAGGTTTAGTCAGATGAACAGAAATTATCAACTGATCACTGCTTGCCGAAGGGGGATCTTATGGACCCAATTCCAACTTCTCTCCCAACGGATTATTTTCGCAATGTGCCCGCCGTAGGTTGATGGAGGCGTCTAGGCCGGAGGCCGCACGGTTTCCGTTTGACGTCTAAAACCACTCGATCGGTGAATTGCGAGTTTAGGGCATAGGTTATGTCGAACGTCATTAGCCGTTTTCACGACGGGCTATCCGGCGAGTGCACCTAATTTGACCAAATCTGCACCTTATCTCTTTCACAGCAAATATCTTTATTTTATGAATTTATTTCAGTGATGATACTCTCTGATAATATGACAAAGCAGGCATTTAAGCAAATAGTGCAACGGTTGGATGATATATTTGAATGCATTTGTAATAATTTGGTTTATTATTTACATCATCATCCAACCTGTCATGGATACTCAACAAATAGTGCAACCCTAGCTGATAGCTACTAAGAGACACACTAAACCTAATTTGACCAAATCTGCACCTAATCTGCACCAGATGTGCACCAAATGTGTACCAGATGGCCGTCGTGAAAACGGCTAATATCTGTCCACCTTTTCAAGACGCATTCGGCCACGGCCACAGAGCTCATCTGACCTATACTATGCCCTGCGGCCACTGCCATCGACTGCAGGTCAGCTCCAGCGGAAGTGGGAGCAATATGAGGGGCAATGTTAGGAGCTACCAGCGAGCATCGAAGCGTCTCTAACCAGACTGATATCACCTGTCAGCTCAGGAGAACGTACTGAATAAGTTCATAAATATTTATATCAATAAATATAGCACAAGCAAGTAGCAACCTACAACGTGAGTCGTGACCCGGCCAATAACACAACCATCAATTGTCTGGGGCAACGCCCCAGAATTTCCTGACCGGTCGACAGGGCTTTTCCGTCGGGCGATGCAATCAGCCTGACTTCTCCAGATTATCGACGGCTCGTATTGTAGGGAAGTCCGAACGGGTGTTTCATGTGTATGATTTTGCTCATATTGCACCGTCGTTTTGTTTAGTCTGTTATAAGGAAATCCTATGACTTTTGTGTGCACTGCGCCGCGGAGCTGATTGCGACTGAGGTCCCATGTTGAAGAGTCGATGATTGCGTAGGACCCCAGTTTTAACGTCAACACTACCTGCCTCTTATCACAGCCTCCTATCGGATTACCCCGTAGGCCAGGTATGCCTACTTCAACTTCCACCTCCACCTCCCTCCTAAATGTCTAGATAAGGTAACCGGTGATCTTTTATCACCCCAATGTTACACATCGTCATCTAAGCCTCGATGAATTTATCAGGATCGATGTAGACGTTTCCAAACAGTGTTTGACGCCCACTATCATTTTATCCTTCTCGCTGAGCCGTCTATAGACGTCACAACGCTGAATTTTGGCCTGCAGTTTGTCGACAGAGAGTCGGTGTAGAGCGCTGTAGCCGTCAACAAGCACTGTGACGCATTTAAGTGACGAAGTTCTTGCCTCTCATCGATTACCATGCCTAGCTCAAGCTTTTCACCATTCGCAATCCCACAGCTTTTTCGTCTGTGCTGCCACACGCGACCTTACGTCCCAGTTGTATGACGCGATGCGTCGATCACTATAGTTATCGCTTCTGTCGGACCTTGTATCGCTGCCAAGATGCGGACTCAAATGCTGCCACCGACCAAACAGACATTCCTGTATGAGGAGTTTGCGTCTCCCTCACGCATTTCCCCTTGGTAGTGCGGGTCAAACGGTTTCATAAACATATTGCGCATGTAACCATATGAGGCCATTAACTATGATTTAAGTAGTGGATGTAGTAAAATACAGTTAAAAAAGAACGAAAGTATTACCATCGGCGCATAATACGCCGACATCCTCTGATTCTTATAAAACGACCAACTTCTAAAAGATGTGGTTCCCCAGGGCACGCAATACATTACATACATACAGGGTGTCCCAAAAGTAAGGTCATCATTTGTTTTGGCCACACCGCCAAAAATACGCGATGGATAGAAATAAATAGGACATGATATGAAAGAGCATTTTATAAAATTTTATTCTGATATACATATGAGTCAATACATTGGCTCGTAGCCCAACATTTGCTGCTTTTCTGCATGGCTACCATTTCGGGCCGCGTGCATGAATAGACTGCGTTTTACTTCCTCCACTATTCTGGAGCGATTCTCTGGTGAGATGCCGCTTATGTTTGCTCGGAGGGATCATCCTTTAGTTCTTCCCGGCTCGTTGGGTTGTCCTAAAAGACAACCTTTCCGTTGTGTACCCAGAGAATAAAAATATGAAGGTGTAACGTCAGGTGCCCGCTGAGGCCATTCAATGGCGTTGCCCTGACTGAAAATTACGCGATCTCACATCCACTCTCGGAGACAATGCATGATCTTCAGGACGGTGCAAGCATAGTCTCCATCCTGCTGAAACCACTGCTGGTTGACGGTGTCGGCACAGCTGCGTTGCGACGAGCGGAAAAACCACTGGGAGGACTCTCGGCCACCTCTCTTGATTTATTTTCACCCGATTCCCGCTGTCTTCCTCAGGACCTCGAAGCACTGGTGGCTAAGTATACATGCCCTGTGCGTACGTTATACCTTTTTTCTGACGTTTTACCGGTTGAGGCGAAACTATGCATGAGTTCAGAGATAGGGCGAGCTGATAGGGTCTGCTTAGGGCCGAAAACTGGGCGGTATTTACCCTTTGTTTTAATGACGGACCCTCTCTAAGAGTTGAATTTTGACCTTCTCAGTTTTGTGCCTACTGCTCGGTGTAGTTATGATCAAAAATGGTTTAAGCATGCAAGAAAATAATTTTATGGATGCACCTTGCACGTGTTAAAATTGGAAGTGATTCGGACTCTTACTTCTCGAGATATTTAAGTTTTAAATCATGACCTTACTTTTGGGACACCCTGTATGTAAGTACGCTGTGATGTAAAATAACCAAGTTACCAAGCTAACTAACCATGAAATAACCAAGTTAGCACCAAGTTTTATTAAATCGGCTGCTGGTCTAATGCTTTCTACCGACCTCAGAAAGTTATGCACATAGCTTGTTATCCTATATGCTTCGAAACTTTGCACAAATCCCTGCCCTTTGCGACAAGCTAATTTTGTCGCGTCGTTGGGTGTTGACCAACATAGCCAATAAAGTTGGCTGTCACCAAAGCCTGAGTCTTCAAACAGTAGCGGCGGAACACCTTCAATTAAGGGGGAGGGGGGGGGGGCACTGCCGACTTTTGGTCCCATTCTTTCCATGCAACGCCCATAGGGTTAGGTAATGTTAAATAAAATGCCCAAATCAAAGGGGGGCACGGTGCCCCGGTGCCCTCCCCGTTCCGCCGCCTATGTCTTCAAATTTCGGGTGTTCAATGTTCATTGTAAATGCCAAAATCAAAGGGGGGCACGGTGCCCCGGTGCCCTCCCCGTTCCGCCGCCTATGTCTTCAAATTTCGGGTGTTCAATGTTCATTGCAGCTCAACACAGCTAAATTCATAACATTTTATATTCATTAAGCCACGTACTTCTCTATACATAGAGAAGTTCTCTATATATATAGAGAAGTCTGTGATCAAGCACAAAGAGCAGTCAGCCAGTTAGCACAGCCAACACGAGTACACGTATAACAGCAACAATTGGAGAATTCACTTTGCGAAATACCCAATAACAATATCACACATTGTCATGCCCTCAACAAATAAGACACAAGGGGAGGGTACAAATGTTGCATTATCGGGCAAGTAAATGACTAAAATACTCACACCTTGAGTTGCACATAGGCGGCGGAACGATCTGAGACAAGGGGGGGCACCATGGCTCAAGGAGCCAAACCTAGGGTACCCCCAAATCCTGTTTTCTCATCGGATTTAGGCCACTTATTTTTCGTCACAGCCCTGACACGATGATTTTTTTTTTATTTTTTTACTAAACGAAAATGGCAGTTCACCCCCGTATGCAGGGGTGTAATTTTATATCTCTTTGTGGGGGCATATGCACCCACAATCCTGAATTATGACCCCACAATGATGAAAGCACCCACAAGGCTTTTACAAGGCTGCAAGCGTCCTTTCGAGAGCACGGTACCCTTCGCATGCTCTAACGGCGTCCTCCTGACCGTCTCGCGTTCAAGGATAAAATAGCGTTTTTAATCACTCGGCGCCCTTCTGGGAGAATGGCGCACTTTTGACAGCACCGCGTCATTCTCATGGTCTAACGGCGCCCTCCTGACCATCTCGCGTCCTTAGGTCTCTGTTCACCGTGCATCCCTCGACTGTTCGGCGCCCTTCTGGCCTCTCAGCGCCCCTGAACCACATATCGACACCTTTTTTTTTAAACCCCACATTTGTTCTCCGGTGAATTTCAGACAAGTTGGTTAGAGACCTTCAAAAAAGGTACAATCACTCGATTTTTCTCAAGTTTGTCTGTCTTGGCAGATAAAGCAATACCAGAACAGGCCTACGAACACACATATTTGATCAGGATCGGACGATTGGATACTTTTAAAAGGAGATCTTTCGTGCCTCCCGGAAATTCACGGGAGAGCAGATGTGGGGTTTAAAAAAAAGGTGTCGAATATAGCGTTTTCAATCACTCGGCACCCTTTTACGAGAATGGCGCCCTTTTCATGATCTCAAGGCGCCCTCGTAACCATCTGGCGGCACAAGGTAGCACTACTGACTGTGCGGCGCCCTTCTGGCCTCTTAGTGCCCCTGGACCACATAGCGTTTTCAATCACTCGGCGCCCTCCTAAGAGAATGGCGCCCTTTTCATCGTCTCACGGCGCCCTCGTAAGTCGTAACCGTCTGGTGCCTCCACATTTGGTGCCCCTCCTGCTGGATGGCGCCTCTCTACATCTTTTTTACGTCCTTCCGGTCAGTTTCCACTTTTAAGCGTGTATTTGCTTAGTCAGACACGTCACTTGAAGCGCCATTCGGCTAGCAATGTTATCAAATTCGGTGTTAATTTAGGCTCCCACATAAAGAATATCTATCGCGCCCCAAAACGGCCTGGCGCCGGGCGCCCCTACAGCTGGGCACCCACAATCATTTTAGGAAAATTACACCCCTGCCCGTATGTGTGGTTAACTTTAAGCTGATCCTCAAGTACCTATGTGTTTGTCTCTTCCTTATTGTCGTTTGATAAATTCCATTTATCCTACATGTATAATTCCCAAGAAGCCATCGCAGTACTAATCAGTGGCGAATCCCAGGGTGGAGGTCACATGGGTCATGACTTAGGGCCTGGGGTCACCACATGCCTGCCAGGAGCACCACAGGCCTGACAGCCGACAGGGGCACCACAGGCCCGCCAGGGATGCCACAGGCCTAGCAGGGGCACCACGGGCCTGTCAGTGGCACCACAGGCCTGTCAGGAGCACCATCGGCCTAGAAAAAGCACTACAGGTCTTCCAGGGGCACCACAGACCTGCCAGGGGCACTATCGGCTTCGCAGGGGAACCACCGGCCTCGCAAGGGCACCATGGGCCTGTCAAGGGCACCACAAGCCTGTCGTTGGCAATTTAGGATTGTCAGAGGCACCACAAACCTGTCAAGGGCACCTGCGTTCTAACAGGGGCACCACAAACCTGCCAAGGCCCAGGGACACCACAGGCCTAGCAAGGACACCACAGGCCTGTCAGGGGCACCACGGGCCTGTCAGGGCCCATGGGCACCTGAGTCATGTCAGGGCCCACCGTAGGCTTGTCAGGGGGCAGGGTAGGTAGGTACCACAGTCTTTCCAGGGGCACCAGCGGCCTAGCAGGGGCACCAGTCATCACATAACCAAAAATAAAGAAAAAAAACTGAAAATAGGGCACCACCAAAATTAAGTGGCCGAAATCCGTTGAGGTTTTAATTTTGGGCATAGGTAGGGGCACCACTTCGATTCATGACCCTCCCCTTGGAGTTTTCCCGAATCCGCCCCTGGTACTAATACATCAAATTTAAGGGGGGGCACCTTGCTATTGGTGCCCCCCTTGCAGAATTCAAGGGGGGGCACGGTGCCCCGGTGCCCCCCCCGTTCCGCCGCCTATGGAGTTGCACCATGTCTTGGCGCAAGCCCAAGGGCCACGATAGGTGCCAGTTAAAGCTCAGTGTCCATCTGACGATCACACGTGGAGCAGCTCACTGAGCTGCACCCCGAGCTTCTCCACGATGGCCTTCTCGAGCGCCTCCTTGGCCTTGCGCTCGGCCTTGGCGCGCCAGCTGCGCTTCCAGTTGTGCTCGGCGACGGCCGTGGCGATCTTGCTGACCGGGTCGCCGATCAGCCGGTTCACGATGCCGCCCAGGCCGCCGATGTGCACATCCACGTCGATGTCACCCAGCGTGACGGAGACGGCGGTGTTGAGCGGCCGCGCCGCGATGGTGCCGTTGGGGTGCACGTCGATCTCGAGGACCACGTCCAGGCTGCCCACCGGATGGCTGACGCGAACCTCCACGTCGGCAGACGCGGAGGCGCGCAGCTTCTTGCGGAAGATGCGTCGCTCGGCTTTGGCGTTCGCGTGCCCGTTTCCACGAAGGCGCGGCCAGCTGATGGTGGCCTGCACGTTGAGCCTGGTGCCGCCCTCCGGGAACTCCACGTTCAGGTGGTCGATGTTGTAGGCCGACAGGCCGTGGATGAGGATGTCGGAGACGGTGGTGGTCACCCTGCCGTCCTGTTTGGTGGAGCCCGGCAGCCGGAGCGGGTCCGAGCTCTGGTGGACGTCGTTCCGGAGACCCTCGAGGAGCTGTTTGACGCAGTCGCTGAGCGCCTCCGGCTGGCCGATGTCGCAGTTGGGGCTCTGAGCGGCGGTGACCGCCAGCAGCAGCAGCAGCACTGGTCCGGCCGACCGCAGCATGTCTGGTGCTCTCCGGACCTCTGTGTCTCGACTCGTCTTCCGGCGGACTGGTGCCGTCAACTGATGCCGGCTGCCGCGCGCCGCCCGGTTTTGTACATGACAGTCACGTGACCCGCCGTCTGGAGCGGCGGGGCGGGATTTCCGGGCGGGTCGTCCGGCCATGCCATCGGCCTGACTGCTCCCGATTAGTGATGGCTCGTTTTGCAGGAAAGTCCAAGCGGGTGCACCATATGGTTAGGACGTATCATTTTGAATACTGTTCGAGTATATGCTACATCCGATCAGGATAATCACATAAGCATAACTGGGCTGGTTCATGGTATCGAATGGGACATCAATATATAGGGATTAACGTCAGGAAATGGACAAAGGGTGGTGCGTTTGCCAGCTACAGTTGAACAGCTTTTTGGCAACGCTGGGCAGGTACGGCGTTGATAACCGCTGTTTGCGTGCCTGACTTACCGGACGTACCCAGACAGGTGCAGGGGCGCGGTGCCGCCGCTGACACATGGTGTCGTTCAGGGCTCTTTGTTGAGCCCAGTGTTGCTTCCTTTATTTTCAAACGACTTTCGCAACATTTATCACTTTAAAAACATGAGCTATGGGTACGCCGATGATGCTCAATTTTCAGAAGTCGATTTCATTGGAAAGTTGCCTGAGTTGGAAGTTGCAACGCGAGAAGACTGTCAAAGGCCTCCAAAATAGTGCACATTTGGTTGAAATAAACTATGTGGTGCATGAGCTATGCACGTGCAAGCCGATTGCACCCCTTCGTACTAGAGTTGCAAAGTTTTCCCAATGGGCTGCTACCGGCACCGCCCCGCCCCACAAAAATTTTCTGGGATACCGGCATACTACCACGCCCCAAGCAAAAACACCGCCAAATTACCGGCATACTAAGAAACCTGCATTCTTGATTCTGGCTTACCCCTACATGAGATGCCACATTTTGGCAATTTCAGTAAACGCCCCACCCAGCAGCCACCCATTGTCCAACCAAAACTCCAGCAGCCTGATTTTGGCTGAGTTGGCCCCACAAATACCACAATTTTGAAACTCAATTCCAGTTTACAGCTGTTAAAATATCACCTGTCATAGACCTCTGTAGTTCGTACGTTGCCACGCCTGCAGGGTAAACGGCAGCTCTAACTGGTTCAAAACTTGCAGGTCATAAGAAGAATACTTTGAGTCATGACATTCCGGCGAGATAATATCCGAGGGGAGCAAGCTGCGCGTGCGGGGGGCGGATAACGGTTTTGACGAGGGATCCTCTGATCCCAGGAAACGTCGAGCTAGCGACACAAAAGTCGGTACACTGATAGAGCTAGACACACGCTACAGGGTGTCATGAAAATGACTGCACTGGGGTGCCTGGAACATGAACTATGCACGTGCAGTTAATTCATCTCTTACTGTAGGTAGATATCCACACCAATCTCGCGTGCTTTCAAGCATTTTTGGGATGCTTCGGTTGGTTTCAGGTTCAGTCCAAGCTCAGTCTGGGTTTCGGTGGTTTTGTCCGGTGTGTGCCCTCAGTACCGTTCCTCCAATTCTGGCCCAAGGCAACGCAAGAGCGCTGCCGGCATCTAGTTCAAGAATTATTCATACACTGCGGTAGTGGTTTCTGTGATAAAATGATTGGCAATAATTTTACCTCAGAAGTGTAGCAATAACAACAATCACGGTATCTCTTCAGTCGCCGGACTTAAGTTGATTTGATTTTTTTGGAAAGATAGGTAAAGGTGTAATTATGGCGTTGATTTAAGGCTTTTTAATAATATCGTATTGTTTATCTTCGATAAGATTTGATATATGTAATGTACAAGTTATACATTTGATGCGTTTATTTCTCTGAAATCCAATTCACTTCATTAACCTTTTCATTGACTGCCCGTGTATCAGCGCTTGCAATAATTATTGTCATGGCTCGGATTAATGAATCATGTGCTACAATGCAAAGTTATTGATACATAAAGTTTCCGCTGCCTATCGAGTCCAAAACGCAATGCACGATGTATTTCGTGGACATTGTCGTCTATCTACTTCTTCCTTATGAAAACATGGACATGATTTAGGCTCCGCCCACTTGTCCATGTTATATTTACAAAAACGGTGTTGAAAAAGTCCATGGAATGTCACTTTTTTCTCTACCACTCGGAGGCTAAAATTTGCAATGATTTTGGTGTTATTCGATTAACCTGATTGAGCTATGAGACATATGGCGTTTTCAGCTTCTTAAAGTCATGCTTTTGAAAAATATTGAGCTTTTTGTGTAAGTCCATGATATGCTAAAATTTTGTCATGTCCATGTAAATACGTTTGAACGGTATGGGTGCTCTTGTCTTCACGCTAAGAATTTTCCAGGTCGCTGGGTATCGTTGTCAACTTCTGGACACCGTCAAATAAACAGTGGGAATTCGGCAGCCGTCCGTTGGAAAGCCCGTCGGAACTGCGTCTCAGATATCGTTCAGTGTTGTCAGCGGGCAGCGTCTGGCCAGTCCCGGGTAGCAGTATCCCCTCCCCCGCCCTCCCCATACGGGGCCTGCACAGTGCACGTCCGACCGCGGCCCGGTCATAGTTCCTGGAAAACCATTATCGGCTGCAGGCCGGTCCAGCTGCGCAGTTGCACTGCGCTGATGCCTCCAGCACACACCAGACGCCGTAAATGCTCGCTTGTTCACTGTTAATGCTCGCTTGTTGTCTGTCTACCTATAGTATCCTTGGATGCCTTTGATTATCAGGATGCAGGTATATAACTGAGATTTACGGATACATTTGAGGTGAGATCCACATGGAAGATATTAGCATACGTCGGACATGATAATGCTTGAATTAGAAAAAACAGTTTTTAGTATGTAAGCATAAGCTGTTGGTGGCTAATCTACATGTGTGTGACATACATGTATCTAATGTATGTAACTTGTAAGTTGTAAGCTAGACAGCATCGCCAGACTGCTTTCATATGCCTTTTCGAAAGGTCTTATCACGTTTGAGAAATCGTAAAACTTCACTTAAACCTACGAATAAATTTATACTTGTCATGAGTTTCCACGTTTACCTGTCATGACTAGTCTCTTTTCTTCTTTTCGTCAATGCATGGATAATTTTCATGACCCGAGACTTTTCATGGACATGTGCCTCGCGTGATAAATGAAGATATCCCGGAGAAGTGGCTCGATCTCGGGCATCCTGGAAGTGTGCTAGACATTTGAGGAAGTCATGGCGCAAACCGAATAAGTGCAAGAGGCCGTAGGCCTGATAGCAATGAGACGAGGCGGCCGACCTGCGTCAGTCCAGAAAGAAATGGCGTTTGCTTTTTGGATGACGAAAACTTGCACAAGAGACCCCGATAACTTCAATGTGCAGCCTGATTCTCACTTGTTTAACAAAGTTAAATGCTCTGTAAAGCTAACAGATTAGCTCACTACGAATTGCTTGGCCTGTTAACATGTGGCAGGCATGTGATGACTGATGTGATAACGCTGGGCAATAATGTGTAATGCCTATGCATTATTCATGACACTGCCAAAGGCATTCGTTACTTGTGACGTTTAGTCTTGAACAAAGATGGAATGACCAACTAGCTGTCAAAGGTATACGTGTGCAATGTGCCTCCGTCGACCTACTGCGACCATCCGGAACAGTGCGAAAATTTCGTCGGCTGGTACCACACTGGTCAAAGTGCACGTGTCACGTGTGCTGATGCTCCGAAGTCGCCCCTGTGCGCGTCCCATGTGGAAGCCGTCATGCCTCCCATGTGACAGACGTCATCACGGTACCTTGGATCCCATCTAGCCGGCTGATATGGGGCGTGGGACTGGCCGGCTGTGGCCACCCCCAGAGATGTTACACAACGTCCAGTCCAGATGAGCTTGTTTTTTTGGGGTGGGGGTGGGGGGAATGGATAAAGCATTCATACAGGGGACACGAATTGGGTTTAGATGTTTCAATTACGACTGAAACTCAAACGGAAGTCCAGTGAGGCCTTATGCTATAAAGTTTCGAAATCATCGTTGGATGGAGAGGCATTAGGCATGCATGACCTTTGCAGCTTCATTTTTCGTCCCCTCATAAAATTTGCCGCATTCTTCGGAAAAGGGGAAAACTGATCGACTGTGATAAGAAAAAAAAACTGTTGAATTCTTCTGCATAGCTTGCTTCAATGAATCTAGGTTAAAAGACGTACACAAAGGAATGAAAACTAACAACAATCTGAATTGAAAGAGGTTGAGTAAGTAAGCCCATCAACTGACAACTAGCTATGGAACCAGCACTACAGGAGATAAGCACAGAAGTTCCATCTGCCGCTTAGCGCCTGTCCATCGAGAATGTCGCAGGTACAGCAGGTGGCCGGTGCTCACGCCTGTATCTGCGAATCACGGCCACCGTTAGATAACACCCGGGTTGGCGGAATGTGGTCCTCGGGCGCCCCAGTCTCCGCGTCAGTCCGCCGCCATGAAGACTCCGACCCCGGCCCTGCTGGCCGCCGTGCTGCTGCCGCTGGCGGCCGCCGCCGCGCCCGACACCCTCCGGCTGGTGAATGTGGTGTACCGGCATGGCACGCGCACGCCCATCGAGGCCTACCCGACCGACCCCAACATCGGCGCCTGGCCGCAGGGCGACGGCCAGCTGACCAACGAAGGCAAGCAGAACCAGCTCGAGCTGGGCCGCTTCCTTCGCAGCCGGTATGACGGCTTCCTGCCGGAGCTCTACCACATGAACTACACCCACATTGAGGCGGCCGACGTGGACCGGTGTCTGATGTCGGCGCAGGCCAACCTGGCCGGCCTGTTCCCGCCGCGGGGACAGGACGTCTGGGACGCCGAGCTCGCCTGGCAGCCGATCCCCGTGCACACCGTGCCGTTTGAGGACGACTACAAGTTCAAGTCCTACAAGATATGTGACGCCTACAACGCGGAGCACGACCGCGTGTACAGCTCGCCTCAGGTTGAAGCGGTCAACGCCGAGTACGCTGGCCTGTACCAGTACCTGACCGAGAACAGCGGCGACCTGGTGGCCGACGTTACACACGTGCAGTACCTCTACGACACACTCCGGATCGAGTCGACCCACAATTTGACGACGCCCGAGTGGGCGCTCGCCGTGCCGCCTGGCTATGACGCGCCGGCGTTCCCCGATCTGATGGAGCCCCTGGGAAACCTCGACTTTGCCCTGCTGGGTGCCACGCCACTGCAGCGTCGGCTTGGTGGTGGCACTCTGCTCAAGGACATACTGAAGAACATGAAGGCCAGCGTGTACGGCTACCTGAGCCCGCCCAACAGGAAGCTGTTCGCCTACTCGGGACACGACACCAACGTCGGCTGCCTGCTGACCACTCTGATGGTGAGTCGATAACTGGAATGGAGGATTGCTGAGGTGATGTTTCAAGTTTCAACAACCTTCCTTGATGACTTTTGATGCCGGTTTAGGTCTTAAAGTATGCCTACGGACCATCACCGCCAAGCATGGATTACTGTATGAACCAGTATCCTTTTTTTAAACTAGCGTCAGCATACTTTTTGCCCGTATAAGTGCTTTGAAGTTTGAATGTTTAAGATTAACATGTCACCCACTCCCCTGAAGGACGGACTCACATCGTCTCTCACTACCGCAGGTATACAACGGCGTGATGCCTCCGCTCGCCAGCGCCGTGCTGGTGGAGCTGCACGCGGAGCCCGAGGTCGGTGCCACCGTGCAGCTGTTCTACCGGAACGACACCACCGCCGAGCCGTACCCGCTGCAGCTGCCCGGCTGCCAGCTCAGCTGCCCGTGGGACACCTTCGTCCAGCTCACCGAAGACGTGGTGCCAGACGACATCGAGGCGGAGTGCGCCGCCGTGCCCGAGGGCTACGTCCCCAGGGCGAACAAGTGGCGCCGTGACTAGGCCCCGCTCCGAACGGGCAGGAGGGAGTCAGGCGACCGCGGGGAGTTCAGGCTGAATCGAGCGGACGATGACAGGGAGTCTGGTCGGGAATGGTCGCCATTTGGAATATGTTTGATGAAACGAAACTGTGTTACTTCTTTCGTGATTTAGTTGTGCAGTCAGCACATCCAGGCGACGATGCACACTGTTTTGATTTTGTGTAGGTACTGCGTGATATACAATATACAATGTCATCTGGGCAATACTGAAAGTTGTCCTACATTTTTCTTTATCGCATTTTTTACCATGTTAGAGAGCCCAAAGCTGGACTCAGAAAGTCCGTTTAGCCTGTCATAAATCAACAACATCGCTCACCTCGACCTCCGCCCGGCCACGGCTTCCCACCACAAACATGCGAAACCCCTGGGGCTCAGTTTGCTCACAGTTCTTTGAACTCGGGCTGCCGCCTCAGCCCATCGCCGGCGGCGGGCATGCTGCGCGACATAAAACACAATCACAGATGACGTCATCTGTGGGAGTGACTCAGCCGGGGCCGGCCCGCCCGAGAGTGGAACAACGCCGCAGCCACGTAACGCGGCGAGCACTGGCCGCCGGGAAACGGCCGGGGATTTTTACCAGCTTGTAACCGCAGGCGAGGCTGCTTTTATTGCCTGCTTCTAATGACATACGCTGAACGTGTGCGATAGGCGTAAGGGCGTCGAGGGAGAGGAGAATGGTTGGTGGTTGGGTAGTGGAGGTGACTGGAAGCGACTTTATTTATTTATCCTCATAACGGCGAGAGCAGGCTCGCTTTCGAGGGGTAGGTATGTGCGTGGAGGCTGAAGGGCGATGGTCGACGGTGGCCACTGGTCTGTACAATGCACGCAAACGATTAAGTGCTAGTCAGCAAAAAGCGATTACAGACTTAGTCCATATTAACAAAAGGATTTATGGCCCTTTCACACGTAGCAACTTTTCAGTCGCCGGCGACAGCAGCAGTCGCCGGCGACCGCCAGCGACCGCCAGCCAACGATCGTGTGTGACGTAGGTATGACGTAAGCAAGTCGGTGGCGATCGCCGGGCCACGGCCGGGCAATCGCCAGCAACTGGTGACGTCAGATCCGCGTCACAGGCCAGTCGCCGGCGACTCTTCTCGAGCAGCGGACGCCGCCATGACAGTTTTGTTCTTGGTGAGTGGTTTAGGTGATTTGTGATGCATTTTTGGTTGGTGTGGCTACCTTAAATTTGTTGCACAGTAGCATAGGGATTATTATCTTGTAGTTTGCCTGTCGTGAAGCTGTTGTGACTTGAATTTAAGCTTGATTCGACAATATTGGAGGGTTTATGTCATTTGTGGCGCATTTGCCCATGATCACCCATGATTTTTATTTGTGATAAATATGCATTTTTTCATCAAAATTGAATATTTTAATGACATTGAAATTGACACTAGTTTCATAAGGTAATGAAAACTTGCTTGTTGTGTCACAAGAACATTGTTTACATTCAGTATCAGTGCCCTTGAGGACAAAGTGCCTACCTATCAGTCAGCTATTTGCCTACCTATTCGTGCGACACAAGGAAATATTTGATAGCAACAAAATATTATATTGCTGCTCATTAATTAGCATGATCAAAATCAAACAGGTAGCTTTGTAATTTTGTTATTGTTTCTGCTGGAGTTTTCCTTGGTACCATGGATAAACAACCCAGGCCAAACTTAATCCGCATTGGGTTCGCATGTGTGTGCGTGCTCACATGGCAAATGATAATCCATGGCTTATTAGTACATAAATAATTGCATTATGCACAGTAGGTGGTAGGTATGTCATGTATTTTGGCAAGGTATTAGGTGGTATGTATTTTGGCCCTGGAGCTGTTTCCTATTCATTGCAGCAATGCTGCCGGCATGGCTTATGTGTACCATGCGCACACAAGCTCCACCAATGTAAAAATGTCATTTTCACACAAAACTCATAATTGGAGGAAGGTAGAGCAGACCAAGAATAAGCGGGCATTTGCTGCAGTGTGGAAAAAGTCACTAGAGGCTTGATACTTTTTTACATGCAGCAGCCTGGAGATGTCCACAGAGGCATGCCTGAGGATGTCCACAGAGGTGGATCCAGGCAATAGTTTTTACAATCTTCTCCCCTTGTGCCCGCTGTGTGTTGTGCTGACTGCTTGTCCCCCTTCTGGTGGTGCCTAGACTTGCCTCTGCATATCTCCCTGCAGGCTGCTGCATAATGTCTAAAAAAAAAACCCTCAAGCCTCTAGTGACTTTAATCACTCCAGTCTCTACAGCATATGCCCACTCATGCTACAGCTGCCTTAATAATACCAAAATTAGTAACAATGGTCTCATAACCATATTCAGTAGGAAATGAATTACCTAGAAAATTATATGAAAAAATACAATTGCTTTCAAAAAGAATGAGCACTGCTAAAATGCTATTATTTCAAATAATGCTAGGTTTCTGAACCACAAATTCCAATTCTGTGTCACTGAATACTGATTGCCAATTGTACAAGACAAAAAGCGTCAACAATGCTACATCAAGGATAATGATGCTAAGATAGTTCTCATTTTAGCCTGAAGTGTAAAAACCAAACCTAACCTGATTTGGGTATTTGGGTAAACCAAGCCTAACCTGATTTGGGTATTTGGGTAGTTTTTATGATGCTAAGCAATAGCCTATTCCAGGCTTCCTAATTTGCAGAGCTTTTGGTTAAAAATGATTTTTAAAAATGTATTTGAAGTATGTTCTGACATGTCCGCCCTCTGTGCCTGGCAGACAAGTCACAGCGTTACCTGATGAGTCAAGAGGTTCTGTACCTGATGTACTTGATCAAGAGTACCTGATGATTCTGCAACACCACCTGATGGCCAACTGGACGGCATTGCTGACCCGAAAAGGAGTCTAGCAGCTGAATGTTCAACTTCTGCCACTGCACTGTTGACTCTGCCTAGAGACAGCATCTGCACCACGGCCCACAGACGATCTTCCGTGGGACAGTGTGCTGCGCACCAGTCACCACACTGACGGCGTTCACCTGTGTGCTGCACAACTTTCTGTGAGGTCAGGAGATCGACACTGACGGCCCCGGACGGTGTGCTCTGATTGCGCCGAGTGTGCTCCCTCGTGTCCGGGCCTTGATGCCAATACCGCACGCGAGGCGGCGCGCGTCCGCCAAGCCCTCACATACTGCGTCCAAGGTGCAGGTGGTGTTCGGTGACAGTGTGCAGCTTCTGCCGGCCCCGTGGACGGCACCGCGTGTGACCATGGCATGTGCAGTCGATTTTCTGACATAAGTGCAGTGAATTCATTTGTCATTTTGCTTCTGAATGCTGTCGCCGCTCGGTAGGGTCGATTCTGCCAGAGTAAAGAGGTCGCCACGATCGGGGGCAAGGAGCAAGGCACTCAGCAATCAGCTGCCGGGAGGTGGCGGCGGCGGCGGCGGCTGACGACTCGGGCCTCGAAAATCCTGTCGTGTGCGTTGCTGGCTATTATGCGTTGTTGGTGTGCGCTGTTTCGCAAGGCCTTTGGAGCGGCATGTCGAGTTTTGAGTTTTGGACGAAGGAGCCTTGGTGTTTTGTTGGTCTATTTTCGATAAAAACGGTCATGAAGAGTGAGCTGTGTCCAGGCTGATTTTAAGATTTCTGTCACAGTATTGTCACCTTTGACCTAGGCTTGTGTCTTCTTGGGTATCGGCATATTGTGCCACCGTCCTTGCCCCGTGTCCGCGCGTGCTGCATTTTTATGTGGTCGCGGCGCGTATGGTGTCATATACTGTCACCTCGCCATGTTTAGTGATATCCACTGTGTGGAAAAATGCATTTTGTTATAAGGGGGGGGGGGGGGTACACTTGTGTTCCCCAATCCAGCACTTTAGATAATACAGCATCTGTTTTTTACCATAATGAAAGCCTGTGTTTTATGTGGGTGGTAGGCTTCGCCGTTCCTCAGGTCCGTTTCTGGCATTTGAATTTCTGCTACATTTCTAGAATGCCTTTTTCTGTTTTTCACATACAAAGCACGGTTCAAATGTGTGACCACAAATCACTGTGATTGTCCCATGCTTACCACCAACCATTCCTTCAATGCTAATGTCGTTACAGCGAAGTTATTCATTTATTGAGAACAGGGTTGTAGTTGAATAAACAAGCCAGGTGAGCAAAATCTGCAGCACTCGTAGTCTTGGCTGATGCGTTAGGAAAAATGGAGGAACTGCAAGTACACATCACTTTTCAGTTTTATGCTTGAGTGCATTGAATTCCAATGTAGAAGAATCGCAGTTTGATTGTATTTTCATTGATATTATGTATTGTTTCAATAATAGATCTAATAAATATTATTCCAATATTACCTAGACGGTAGTTATCATCCTGCAAAACATGTCCAAGTATTTAGTACCTTGAATAATGCAGTAAAATAAGCTGCGCCGCTGCATGTATCAGCAGCGCAATATCTGGTGCCAACTCAAGGTCAAGCGGGTCACGTGACAGTTGAGCGGCGGCTGGCTAGAACAGTCGCCGGCGACTTCAAAATGTTGGAAAAATTGAACTTTCTCGGCAACGCCGACAACTCTTCAATGATTGGCTGACACGACTGCTACGTCACACCCCGGCGACTGGTCAGCTGATATCGACAACTGCGGAGTTGCCGGCGACTGACCCCGGTCGCTGGCGATCGCCGGCGACTGACCCCGGTCGCTGGCGATCGCCGGCGACAGTTGCCGTCGCCGGCGACCGGAAAAGTTGCTACGTGTGAAAGGGCCATTAACGTCCTGAACAATCTGATGTACTGATTACTGAAGGCAGGGACTTGAAAACTTTATAATGAAACCGTAAATGCCTAACTTGATTTATAGTGTGCTTATTTTTGTAACTTAACACGCGCCCCGCTGGGCTATTCAGCCATACGCGCCCTGCTGGGGGGGGGGGGGGCAGATTCTGCCCCCCCTGTCTAACTTCCGAACCGATGGTCGTAGAAAGACGGGGAAAACGGCAATCGAAAGCTCTCAACAAGGCGGATCTAAAGAGCCCATTTTGTTTTGCTTAAGTAGGTCAGAGGTCAGGTCAAGGTCAGGTCAAGGGTACAAAATGTACCGTAAAGTGGGGCTATTTGAGACAGTGGGGCTATTTGAGACAGTATTTAAAATCGCTGTAAAATGAAGATCGTTTGATTGTTTTGTGATATTTTTGTTCAGGGAGGTGTGGAATCGAGCAGTAAATCGCCTGAGCAAAAATTAAGCATAAATTTCAAACGGTTT